GTTTTATAAGAAGGTCATCAACAACTAGGGACCACAGAAGGGGAGAAAGAACACCTCCTTGAGGACAGCCTTTTACAGCTGTTACTTTCACTACTGAATCTCCTACACACCAAAAAATTCTGAATTTTACTGGCGATGTAAACATCCATGCATGCAAATATTCATAGATGTGAACTTACTTTTCACGTAAATTAGCAACTTGCAAGAAATGTTGCAAACAAAAGTGGACAGTTGCATACAATATATGGGATATTGCATGACATGTCTCATAAATTTACACGATCTATAATCTAAATTTGTATGATATATGACGCTCCATTTATGTGCATCATAGTAACGGAAATTTACACTACTTTTTTTTAGCTGTGTAGATTAGCTGATATTTCTCTTTTGGATAGCATTTCTACAACCCAGTTGATTATGTTTTTATTAAAACCACGATTTCTCATGGTGCTTATCATCGACGTGAAATATGCATTATCAAATGCACCTTCAATATCAAGAAACGTTGCTAGTAGAATGTCCTTAGCCGCAAAGGATTTTTCTATTTTATTAATAAGAGTATGAAGAGCTGTTATTGTTGACTTGCCTGACTGGTAAGCAAATTGTGTCTTACATAATGGTTTATTAAGAAGTATTTCTGATTTGACATATTCATCTATGAGTTTTTCCATTAATTTAAAAAATATTGATGACAGGCTTATTGGTCTAAATGATTTTGGTGAAGATTTATCTCTTTTGTTCGCCTTTGGTATGAATACCAGTCGGACTTGTCTCCATTTTTTTGGGATGTATCTCAATAAGAAACTAGACTTGAACAATTTAACTAAAACAGGAATTATTATAGATTTACAATTTTGAATATGTGCTGGAAAAATTCCATCTGGGCCAGGGGATTTGAAAGAACTAAAAGAATCTATCGCCCATTCAATTCTTGAGTTTGTAAATATTCTAATGGCAAAGTTCATTTGACATTTCTAGCCCACATAGTGAGACATTTGTTTCGATAGATCTATCACGTTCACCACGGTCTGAAGATGTGGCATTTTGCATGCAATCATGATTTTGTAGTTGATCATCAGTTCCAGAGTTTCTTTTGAGTTTTCAGTAAAATGTCCGTCAGTCTTTTTGAGAGTTCCAAGACCGTTAGAATGATCTTTTGAGAGAACTTTTTGAAGTCTTGCAGTTTCAGGAGTGTTTTCTATGTTTTCACACATGTGTCTCCAATCTTTCCGCTTGGATCTTCTTATTTCTCTGTTATATTCAGTTAACGCCTCTTTATATTGAGACCAGTTTGAAGTAAATTTTGCACGGTTGAATAGTTTCCTAGCTTTTTTCCGTAATTTTTCTAATCTATCATTCCACCAGGAAACATCTCTATTAGTCGAGCGCTCCTTTGTAGGACAACTGGCATTGTAAGCCTGATTCATGTTAGTTATTAAGTCATTAGCAACTTTTGCTAGCTTTGTAATAGTATCAATATTATTGAAAATGGGTTCATGTTGACTCTTCATAATTGTGCTATATAGTTCCCAATTTGTTTTACGAGGATCTTTATAAACCTCCTTCAGTATATCATTAGCCTTAAATTCAAACATAATTTGTTTATGATCAGATAAAGAAATTTCGTCTGATACATGCCAATTTACTATTCGATCAGAAAGTATTGAACTACAAAGAGTAAGGTCCAAAACTTCTTCCCTTATCGCATTAACAAATGTCGGGGAGTTCCCTTTGTTACATGTGTCAATATTATGTTGTGAAATGAAATCAAATAGACACTCACCCCTTTTGTTGATTCCGGAGCTGCTCCATATCGTATGATGGGCGTTTGCATCACATCCGATGATAAAAGCCTTATTTTGGTTTCTGCAATGAGAGACGAACGCTGCAACTTCTGGAGGAGGTGCATCTTCAATATCGCCAGGAAAATATGCGGATGCCACGTAGAGCATCGTTTTTCCTTTTGTCGTTGGCACCTCTAGTGAAACTGCAGCAATATCTCTATTGATGAATTCTGTAATTGGTGTAATTTTGGCATTAATATTGACAAGAATTGCAGCTCTTGGCATGAGCTGAGAATTGTCATATATTAACTTACACGGTTGTGTAAGCATTCCTAAGATCCTGCTTTTATAAGTCCAAGGCTCTTGAAGTAAGGCTACATCCAGTTTTCCTTTGATAAATTTTTTGCTGAGAATAGCTGAAGCTGCCTTTGCGTGATGAAGGTTTTCTTGTATAAACTTGTCATTTTTGTGAGCTTGATATATCTTGAAGGGCATTTCTAACTGCCTTTATTCTAGTTTCGGTCGATGTCCAAGACGATCATCTTTATTCAAGCATAAGGCGGGCAACGCAGAATTTCCAATATTCTTTGTTCCACTACTTTCTTGAGGACACTCGTGAGCATTGTGAAAACATCCCTCAACATTTGCAGTAGCATTGCAGCTTTCATCAGGTTCACTGTTAGTGATGCCGCTAGCTTCTGTACCTCGTTGATTTGTCTCACGCATCTCAGCATCCTCGAAAATTTCGTGAATTCTAGAACTTGTATTGGACTGTTCTGAATCGCCCTTTTCCTTTTTGCCACCGAGTTGTTGTGATTCCTCATTATTTCCTGATTTTCTTGAGGATTTTTTTCTTGGATAAGCAACTCCGAATTTATAATCCAAAGAGAAAACGCATTTTTCTAAAGTCTCCATGGAAACAGCATCAGCAGTCAAGACAAGTTCAACGTGATACTGTTTAACTGTATATCTTTTAAGGATCTTCCAAGCGTCAACCATTAATCCTTCATTTTGGCTTTCCACGAAGGCAAGGATATCCTTATTTGTGTCCTCTACACTTCGTGGGAAGAAACCCAGTAAAATTTCCGGCCTAGGTATGTCTTTTTCTTCAATTGCAATGAGGCATGCTTCTTCCCATGGCTTAATGCTGGGAGTTGTAGCCTTCAACCAGTCAACCGTATCCTGGTTTTTACAAATGATGATCATATGCCCTGGTCTGAAAAAGCAATTGCCAAACTTTGGTTTGGTTTTTTCCTTCCTTTGCTCTGCTACTTTTCTTAGTATTGCGTTTTGGGTAGCAACTAATTGTTGTGTTGTAAGTTCTACATGAGGATAACCATCGGGCAAAATTCCAATCCTGATAGAGTTTAATACCTCGCTATAAGATGCTTTATTGGAGACATGAGTGGCCTGCTTAGGAGTAGACGATTGTCTAACATCTCCTCTTCTAGCTGTGTCCAGCCTTGACTGTACCGAGGACTTCGCTTGAGATGCATTTCCTCTATCAGAATCGAGAGCAACCCTTTTCGGTGGATTGGTTTCGCTCGAGTTAGACTCACTCAGCTCCGCATTTCTACGACGCTTGTTCGGATCAGAATATGGTACTTTAACATTGAGTTACTTTATGGTACAATATGAGTTACATTTATTTGCCGTGTACGCTTTTAGAATTTGTCCATGCTTTTTGAAATATCTCTACATACGAATGAGTAAAAGTGATTCACTCTCTGAGTAAGATTCCTTTTCAGTGTAAAGCTTTCGCAAGCTCGTCGGTAAAACAGTTTCGTGTAAAAGCTCACCGAATACAGCGTAAGTCAGTGTAACAGTAACACCTGACGGCCAGTTTAGAAAGCTTTTGCTATGAAAGCTCACCGTTGAAATCGCCAAGCTTGCTGTGCATGCTTTACGGTAAGTATACCTGTATTCGACAGATAATGGGTCTGTTCCCGTACTTGCTTTTTTTTTGCTTTTTCTGTAGATTGCTGCAGCTTCCTGTTAATTTGCTGTAAGAAAATAATATAGTACAGCAAGTACGGACACATCTTCTTCTTCTTCGCATTTCAAGCTTAATGCTTATCGCATTTTAGTTTATTGCGTGCTCTCAACTTAGTGTTCTAGTTGCACTTCCACAGTTATTAATTGAGAGCTATTGATGCTTGTACCATTTCTGTATTAGTATAATTGTGTGGCAAGTACAATCAGGGAAGTCGAGAAATTTTCCAACCCGAAAAATTCCTAGACCGGACCGGGAATCGAACCCAGCATGGTCTTGCATTGTTCAGCTTGATTTGTACGTTGGATATTTATAGAAGTTTGTACAGCGTATTGCAACTGTTTTGAACAGCAATGTAGTGCAAATTAAATCTCGTCAAAAGTTGTCTACGATATTTTTTTTAAATGTCACCTCAAATCTTTTTTTGAAACTGCAATGGGGCAAGAGTGCCACCACTACGTATGAAGTTCGTTGTTAAGGCGGTAATTTTTAACCAAGTATAGAAAATATTTATCTATTCATTGCTAATAGTGATGCTTCATCGGAAAATCCTTATTTTATCATGCCTAATTAGTATAAATAATTTCAATTTTCGGTACATCAGAAAACATGATTTTTTGCAAATTTTGTAAGATTTCATTTTGAACAGAACTTTCTATAGTGCTGCAAAGGAACACCATCCATAGTTTCATGGGTGAGCTAACATTGAAAATATGTTTATTTTCCAAATTATTGGGGATGGCACTTTTGCCTCACCTGACCCTACTCAAAAGTGAGTTGAAGTATCCGGGCAAAACCCGTAGAATCTCGAATATGAGGAAAATCCCTGAAAACTTTAACTTAGTCTAGAAGTAGGGTAAGATGGGTCAGCTAGTACATTTGTTAATTTATTTGATTGTTAAAATCATCAGCTTCAATGCAACCCCAATGATGTCAATGCAACATGTCGATGTGGACAATGAATCTAATTAATAAATTAGGTCGATGGCCCATCTTGCTCCGTGACCCATCTTGCCTCACCTTACCCTATTCTAATAGACTGAGTGAATCCTCTACTGATTTTCCTCATACTTGGGTAGTTTCTCCAGGAAAAGCCCGAAAAATTCAACTCGCTTTTGAGTAACTCCACATTTGCCGAAATTTAGGCAACTCGACTTATTTTTAGTGAAAATTGGGTTAAATCAATTAGGTGATATGTCGTAACAAACAATTAATCAGCATTTGTTTTATTACCGTTTTACTTTATTCATTCAATGTAATAATTTTACCATTATAATTGTAATAATAATTTTAATATATAATAATTATAATTAATTAATATAATATAATGATATGATAATAAGTATTTACAGATTTCTTTATTTCGTCCACTATTTTCACTTGATTATTTTTTTCCCATTTTTTTATTTTTTTTTTATTTTACGTTTTGTTCGTTTCCTTTCTAGCAGTTCTAAACATTTCCCCTTGGTTCGAGAAGAGTACGTCAAAGTTCTGGAAAGTTTTGCTGTTCACCTTATTTCTCCCTCTCTCTCTCTCTCTCATGGCCTAGAGCTAAAGAGTTTTGTTGTATACTGTTTCACATTTTAAATATTTTTCCTTTAATATTTTTTGTTTGTTTTATTCTCATGAATAACCTTACCGCCTCTCCATTCTTATAGACACTTAAAATTTACAATGCCTGTTTTCCGTCGGATTCTGTTTGTGATTGTGTGTGTGTGTGTATTTTTTCAATTATCTCATATTGAAAAGAATCAACTATTTCTTTCTTCGTTTATCTACACAGCTGTTTCCCTTTAGCGGTTAAAATTTTGTTTGTAAAAAAAAAAACATGGGGCAAACAGGTTGGCCCGCGATGCGGACGCGTTTTAAAATTAAGATCTACTTTCAATAATAATGCTAGTTACGGAGCAATAAAATAAAAACTGAAAACTAACCGATAGCAATAAGTTAACAAATTCAATCTGTTCTCTTTCTTAAAAATGTAATTTGTATTACAAATATATTTGTTGAGGGAGAGGTTCCGGGACTTTCGTAAAGTCCGTTTGCTCGTTTATATTTTACTTTTTATTTTTCGAATTGCAACGACTTTGTTCGTAAAATGATTCTTTGAGAATGAAACGTAATTCTAGCTTTTTGTTTTAAGAAATAAACATTTGAACTATCAGCGCATTTTCTTTTCAGATTTTTGTTTGTTTGTTCTGAAATTGTGTCGAACTTTTTTTTTTTGTAAATGAAATTTTGTTGTTGTATTTATTTGTTTGCTTACTTGAATGAAGTTTGTTTTTACGTATTGCAATTTTCCTGTTTTTAAAATTACTGGTTGTTCCAATGTTCCTTCTATGTTTTTTGAATATTTCTTACTCGTTCCTATAATTTATGCTTTCCTTGTTTTACTTTTTTGTATAAAATTCACATTCCTAGCTATTTCCGTTTATTTTTGTTGTTTTAAATCAAACAATTTGATTGTTTTTTGTTTATCATAATTTCCACCTTTCAAACGTTCGCGATTTTCCTCAATCAAAGGAAGCCGTGCGGTGTAGCATTTTTTCTTTTCTTTGACAGCTGTCCTACACTGAGGAAAATCGGCATCGCAGCTTCGATGCAATTAGAAAAGAAATTCAAAGAAACCCAATTTTGCAGCAAATGTCAATCGATTACTCTATGCGTGGTTATGCTGGTTGATGGTTTGCAAGGATTGTGGTTCCTTTTGTCTCTTTTCATGCTTTTTTTTTTAAATTACTTTTTACACATTGTAAAAAAAATGTATTTCCCTTATGATTTCATTGTTTAAAATTCTGAATAAATACTACACCTTATCGGCATGCTTTTTTTTTTGTTTTTGTTTAATTCTGTTGTTCCATTAAATTCGGATATGCGTTTTGCCTTTGCTCTCGAGTTCGTGATTTTCCCCAAAACAAGCAAAGAGGCGTTCGATTTAGATCAAACAAATCTTGTTCTGCGTTCAACTGAGGAAACTATATGTACAAAAGATTTACACCACACCGACCGTCGCCCCGCGCGCCACCCCCCAGTCAGTGGTGCGACGCCGAGGTTTCCGGGAGAGAAATTCGATTACTGACTTTCCATGGTTAAATACACTTGATTTCTTCATTTCTTAACACCGTAAGAGATTGGTTTGCTTCTCCTTTCATTCTTGTTTTTTTTTTTTGTTTTAAATATATTTGGTTGGTTTTGAGATCGTTTCTTTATGTATTTCTTAAACTTGTTTTTCATCATTTTATCGGCTGTTGTAATGCAATATAATTATATGTACGTGTATTGTTTTGAGTTTCTAAAATCCTGTAATTTTCGTGTTTGTTTTTTTTTCTGCTAAAAAAAAAGAGACATGCTAATAAATAATCGCTACAGTTTAATAAAAACTTTGTAGAAGAAGGAAATTTACAGAAAACTTAAAATTTTCGCTACTTTTAATGATTTTATCACTATCAGCTAAATATTTGGCCTTTTTCCATTACTCTTATGTGTGTCTGTGTGTCTGTGATTGTGTAATTTGTATATATGTGTTTTTGGGTGTTTCTGTGTATTTAGATGGGAATTCCTCCATGGGTTTAGAATTATTTACATAAGCTACTCCCGTTCGCTTGTTCGATTTCTAACATTTTGATTTTCCGTTCACGATTATTTCCCACATAAGTCTGGATATTTTGATTATTATTCTTGTTACGCTTTATTCGCGGGTGGTGGGGGAAAACACGGGGATTTTACTTCCAGGGAGGGGGGAGACACATTTACCGCTAACTTTATTTACCTATAAGTACGTTTAATTTATCAAGTTTGACCTACTCTCGCGCTTAGACTCGAAAAAGGTAGAAGTAAATGCAATTTTGGAGAAAAAAACTCATCCCTCATGGTTGTGTGTACAACTAAAAAACAGAAAAAATAGAAGGATTTGTTCGATTCTGCTCTGTAATCCTAATATAAAAATGTGTTTATCCCTCTTAAAAGTTACGCTAGCGGCTTAAAATCTACTAATTCATTCACGTTATATTCATCGATATTTTATTTAAAACTTGTTGCAACAGTCTTCTTAAATTGATAGTTCAAAAGAAGGAAAAACTTATCTTCTCGTTCCAAGATAAAATATGTACAAATAGTTGAGAGAAAAAAGTAAAGACAAAGTAAACCGAAATGAAAATACAAACATTTGTTTACAACTGAGGAAGTTGGATCGCAGTCAGAGATAGTTTAGAGCTTACCTTAGGAAGGAAAATAGTACGAGCATCCTTTCACGACGTAAAAAAAAACTTGTATAACAAAGATAAAACAGAAGAGTTCATCAAGACATTCTTCCCATATTTCTTTAAATCACATTTTCGTCCCTCACATCGGACCTGTTTTCTCACATTGATTTGTGTGTATTTTTTTTTTGTTTTCTTGTTTAGCTATTTTCGATTGCACTGACTTTTGACAGCTCGCCCGCCGTCGCCTACTTCGCTTTGCGATTTATAACCTCTTCAATATTCCCACCGTTCGGTCTCTTCCATCAGTTCCGTTTTGACCTGAACCAGATCCTTGTCCTTCTCGGACCCCTCCCCACCGGCCGTCGACGCACCGCTTACGCCGGATTCGTCTTTCTCCTCCCGACAGTCGTCATCGTCGCCTTGGTGCTGCTCTTCCACCGACTGCTTCGAATGCGTCGATTTGGCATCGTCCTGCTCGTTATCGCTGCCGCCGGACGCAGCCGCTGCAACGGCCGCCGCCGCCGCCGCCATCGCTGCCACAAACCGCTGCTGTACCGATGGAACCCCATCCGACTGGAGCATGCAAACACCGTTCAGGAGGTCTCCATCTTTCTTTCCATCACCACCGGCTCCTGGAATGGTCGGATTCTTGTCGTCTTGCCAGTCTGGATTGACCCACTGCGGCGCCGCCGGTTTCCGTCGGCTTATCCGAGACATTGCACTCATTGCTTGGGCCAACGACAAACTGGCCACCGAATGTTCCTCGCCATCGCCACCCCGCCTCGCTCCTCCGTCCATCGATTCGGAATCGCTCATGTGACCGCTCTCGCCGTCTTCGTCGAACTCCTCCTCACCTTCGCGCTTCACCGACGATGGCATGGACAGATCCAGGCCACTCATCTGCTCGCTGACGGCTTTGTTTAGTGCGGCCAAGTCTACATCTCCGGGGATGAACCCTCGTCCGATCAATGCCGCCAGATTGGGGTTGGCAGCAAAGTACGGCGGGTAGGGAAGAGGGACTCCACTCAGCCCCATGCGCTCCTTCTGGATCTCCATCAATCGTTGACTCAGCAGCACTCGGAACTGAACGGGATCGAATGGTGCTCCGGACTGGTTCTCCCGCGAGGGAATCGGTTCGCTCGGTTGCCCGTGCGGGACTTGCTGTTTCAGCCGCATTCGATGGTTGTGGAACCAATTGGTGATGGTTCGGGTGGAGAGACCGAGTTCCGTCGCCAGAAATTCGATCGTTTGTACGTTCGGGTAGGGATCGAGGGCAAACGCTAGACGCAGGGCTTCCTTCTGTTCTTCGGAGAAGAGGACCCGCTGTTTCTTGTTCGGCGGTGCAGCTCCCGAGCCGACTGATCCCGGCCCGGGGGAGTTGGAGTGGTAGAACTCGGAGGTGTCGTTGCTGCTGGTGTCGGAGCTGTTGTCCTGAGCGCCGGGACCCGTCGATCGCCGTCGTTTGCTCGCTTCCCGGCGTTCGTTCTTCAACATCTGGAGCCGCTCGACGTTGTTGGCGTCGCTCAGCCACAGCTGCATCCGGATGAATGGCTCGCGACCCTTGATGCTGAGCATGTGCCAGGGCTTTGGTTTGGAGAGCAGCTCGGAGACCGAGCCTTGCGAGAGACCGAGAACGGCTTCGCCGAAAATCTGGAAGGGGGAAAATATAAGTCGGTTAATGATCTGCGTAGCTGGGGATGTTTAGAAACTTACCTTCTGACCGATGTTGTTCGCCAGCAGAGCCTCTTTGATCTTGGTGGTGATGGTTTGGGTGTCGAGATCTTGGGTCAGTGCGGCCATCTCGTAGACGGTAGGCGAAATGTGCTGATGTAGGGCGCCTCGCATGGAGTTGACGCTGGGTGGTGGTCCCGGTTGTTGGCTGGGGGTGGACGTCTGCTGGGGTGAATGGATACCGAGCAAGATCTGTTTCTTGTCCAGTCCGTGCGGTGCGGGCGTCTGCAGAGGAATGGCATGTTGCGGTGGAATGCCGGGAGGTGTTAGTAGCATCGTTTGCGGTGATGGCTGCTGTCGTTGATGGTTGGATTGGGAAATGGGCTGAGGTTGTGGAGGGATTGGGGAGGGCTGTATCGAGGGAGGTTGATGTTGCTGCTGCTGTTGTTGTTGTTGTTGTTGCTGTTGTTGTTGTTGTTGTTGCTGCTGTTGCTGTTGATGTCGAGCTGCGGCTTCCTGTTGGGCATGGTGCTGAGCGGCTGCCGCCGCTGCAGCCATCTGCTGTTGATGGATCTGCTGCTGGTGTTGTTGGAGTTGTTGGGCTTGCGATGTCGGTGGCATCTGCTGCATTTGGGACATCTGCAGCTGGAGGAGCGTTTTCTGATCTTGTTGGAGTTTGTTAATGGAATCACTTAGCATTTTGGGCAACGGAGGCATCTGTTTGACCATCATTCCGGGGATCTGAGGGGAGCCGCTGTAGTTGCCGGTTCGCATGAGCTTCTCCGGAGCGATCTTGTACTGACTGGCGACTAGCTTGTGAACGGCATTATCGTCCTCCAGGAACATCTTCATGCGGATGAAGGGTTCGCGACCTTTCTGGGTCAACATGTGCCAGGGCTTGGGTCGAGCCAGGAGGTCACTGACCGAGCCCTGCGAAAGACCGAGTACGGATTCGCCGAAGAGGCGTTGACTGATGGAGTATTGCGAGAGGGATTCCTTGACACGTCGGACGATGTCTTCGGTGTTGAGATTGTTGTAGAGATCGAACTGCTGCTGGGTGATGGGTGGGAGGATGGCTTTGAGTGGTCGTTGCTGAGAGGAGTGATGTGGAGTGACCGGAGGTTGCGTGATGAGGGAATTTGTGATGGAGGCCATCCGCTGCAGGGGGCTGACGGTGACGGACATGTCTTCCGTTGGCATCACCGGAGGCAGGATACTGTTGCTGATGGGACTCGGAGCGGACGAAGCGGTGGTGGTCGGAGTACACGTTCCTGGTTCAGGTTTCGGCTTTACTAAGCTGAAGGCGCTATGCTTCATGGCATCGTCGACTTCTTTGTTGGCGGCGTCGATTTCGCATTCCAGGTCCATCAGCGAGCCGTTGAGCTTGGTCGACGATTGTTTCTCCTTGGGGAGCGACAGATCCTGTACGGATCCGTTGAGACCGACCTGTTGGTTATGCTGTTGCTGTTGTTGTTGATGTTGTTGTTGTTGAACAGCGGCTGCATGATGCTGAGCTTGTTGCTGCTGCTGCTGCTGCTGCTGTTGATGGAGGGCAAGAAAATTCGGTAGATTGGAGATGTTTGGCATGGCGGGCATGCCGCTTCCGGCGTTCTGCTGCAGCTTGGCCAGTTCACGGTGATACGCTTCCAAGGCCATGCGTATGTTGTCGTCCTGGAGGCGTTCCATCGGTGGCATCCCACCGCTGAGGAAGTGAGGGAAGAGGAAACTAGACGAGAATGGGATGTTAGTACACACGAGACTTAAGACAGACTAAGCAAAGACTACTTACTTTGGAAACTCCCTCGGACTCCGCATCAGCTTGGAGAACTCCTCCTGGTAGATCTTGGCGATCTTGTCCTGCGGGATGTCCTCGTTGTTCCTCGAGCCGGCTCGTCGGTTAAGGTAATCTTTGGCGAATGGCGACTGGACGTCCCGGTGGTGCGGTGACTTCGAGTCATTATCACTGTGCTGCGAATCGTCCAGCAGGGACTGCTGGAGCTGGAGCTGCTGGTGGTGCATCTGCTGGGACGGGTGCTGAGGATTCACCAGACCCGGAGGATCACGCTTGATCATCGATTGAGCCTCAGTCAGGATGTGATGGATGCGGTCGTCGTTCATGTCCGAGCCCTCGGGTCGTCCGAACGATGGCATTCCGGGTTCTGAACCACCTGTAATTAATGCAAATCTGTCATATGGCAAAAGACGGAGCATCTCAGATCGGCATTCCGGGGGATTGTGAGGGGAGAGCTACACCGAAGCCAGACATTGCCCGTGATCCGTCGAGTGGAAGTCCTGAGGCTGTGTGTGGCGGAAAACAGAACGCGCAAAAAAATCGATCCCAACCCACCATATCTGCTGCAGTCGGGTTCGTGGTCGTTCCGTGTGCATGCATGTGTAGAAGCCCATTCTACTTAGGATGGGCGTCGCTTTTATCTCGTATCTCTATGTCTTTCGCCTCTTCGGTCGGCCCAGAAATGGATAAAAACCACTACTTGAAATCTACATTCTATACGAACGAGCATATCATCATCATCATCATCATCGTTGTCGTCGTCGTCGTTGTTACTCCTTGTCAAAGAGGAGGAGACGACCATCAAACCAAAACCGGAGGCTGGCCAGGAAGGCACCAGCAACAGGAGCAATGGAGGGGGAAAAAGAGCCCGACGATGTGCAATCTCAAGTCTCGATCTATATTTATATGTTTCAGCTTTTATAAAATTTATATAAAACGACTTTACATCTCTGTTCTCTTTGGCCGCCGCCGCCGCCGCCGCCGCTAGCGCGCTCTGAACTACTCCTCTGAATGATGGCAATGGCGGATGACGCGCAAAAGGGCCACCGCCAAACAAATGCTCTTGCAGTAGAGGTAGGAGATGGTGGTTATGGTTGCTGAGGTACTTCTTTCTTCTCCACCGTCATCATCATCATCATCAACATCATCGCAGCAAGCCATCACGAGCAGCAACAAAGCTCTTGCTCGCACAAGAAAAAAAAAGAGCGTGCGGAACTAATTGGCATTTAAAGGGGCAACCACGACGCTGTCACAAGGTGAAAAAGACACCTTTTGTGGAAAATTGCAATGCAATTTTCCTCCATTCCCACCCCCTCCATGTCCCGCGCCTGGCATGCGACACCCCGAACACCGAACCGCTACTAATGTAAACAAACCACGTTTGAAGAAACATTTGAATGTTTTTTTTTTTGGCAGAGGTTGCTGTCAACGGTTGCGTTCCAGCCAATTTACCCCGCGCCACGATCCGATTTTCCGATAAATTAGGACCCACTGCGCGACAACCCCGGCACGCTATTTGGGCTCGTGAAATGTCATCGCTCCCTCATCGGCTTCGAAGCACAGCAGGCCTTGGCGAAGGATGGATTGATGGATGATGAAGAAGGCTTCGTTCCTCCGACTTCGAGGAATCGATCAAGTTAGACATAGAGAACTCTGGATTGTGGGGAAAATTTAGTCATTAGTGCACGCGATTGGAGCGAGAGGAAGACGAGTCGGTTTGTTTGTCGGATGATCACGCAATCCGAACTTGTCATTAAACAGGAGCCCTCCCGATTCGATTTCCGAGAAATCGTCGCACGGGATGTGATGATAAATAGGAGAGTTTGATTGGAAGTTTGCGTTTTTTTTTTCGGTCTCCCCATTCAAAGAGATTCCCCATTGGCAAGGGAAGAGGCGGCCCAGTTTCTCAAGAATCACCACAGTGTGCAATCATTTGCTGTTTCGGGGCTATTTCTGGTTGTGAGGTTGAGGAGGAGGACGGGAGGGGGATTGGGATTCCGGTATTTCACAACAAGTGGAGGAAGGAGGTGATGGCAGAAGTGGTTTCCATTCAAAAGAATCGTGATTTTTTTCATTCTCTCTCTCTCTCTCTCTTGTTGGTTAGAGGAATGATTGAAGGACAATCTTATAGATTTACTCCGGTGGAAGAAGTGGGAGGAAGTAATTACTACAAATGTCTGTCATTGTGGATGCTCTTTTTCCCTCTTCTAGTGGTGCGCTCGGCTATTGATCCGTAACTGAGCGATTTTTTTCTTTTTGTTTGTCAGAACTCCGGTAGGGCTTTTTGTTCTGAGTTCAAGTAGGTAGTGGCAGGGATTCGCTTTTTAGCGCTTCTACGATGATGCCCTTTTCAATTCTTTTGATTGATTGTGAATCCTTAACCGCTGTCATCTGCTGTGTGTTGTTGGTTTATCATTGGACCATCGCAGTTTAGGAGGGAGCAATGCAATCGCCAATATTTAATTCTGAAATAATGACTAGACAGAAGATTTGGTTGCGTATTTTTGGCTCGACAGTTACTCCAGTTTCGGAGTCATTAGTTGTAACCGCAGGGCTGGAAGCGGTTACTTCCCAAGAAAATAGTGAATGAATTAGTTTTAAAAAAGTGACCAAATAGTGACTTATGGTCAACCGGAAAGTGACCAAAACTGCGAAAAAGTGGCTTACATATAAATAGAGTATTAGTCTTTGGTATTAGTGCCCTGCCCTTTGGTTCAGTGAGAAATAGAGTTCTGCCTAAAGCCCTACACTGAACGAAAACATCCGCAATACTTCGACTGATTATTGTCTTGCTCGAGCCCTTTAACAATATGCTGTCGAATGTCGGATGATTTCCTTATGGTTGAATTCGTCATCAACTGATGAGCATCCATATGACTGTCCTCCAAACAAAGGATATTTATTTGAAAATTGACTCAGAGGACAACAATTTTAGGATAGGATGGCTTGCAAATGCTTTAGATTAGATTATTAATTTCCATATTGAATAGCCATGAACAACCATTCATCATGGATACAAAATTACTAGTTGATAGAGGAATCTTCCTCCACCACGAAACAGACAATCTACGGTTTCCACCATTTACCAATGTTCGTACCACTTCTGATAGCGATGGCTATGCTTCCACCTCGTTTGTCAGCCCAGAGTAGCAAATGACGTTCGCTAGAATTATTTACATCATCGTTTTGAATGATTTGCGTTAAGGGGCTAAACCAATACCAAATGCATTTCAATTTAAGAAGACTATCATTCTGCAGAGAGCATTGCGCATTCCAACTGAAGGCCCTATCCCTTCTCATAACAATGTTCATCCTGTATTTGAGAGCAAAATCATCCGATTTCAAAACAACCGTCATCCGGTTGCAGCTATCATTCGAAAAGGCGATTTCGATGTTTCGATTTGAATGGTCTGAGGTTTGATTTGACCAGAGGACGATGGTTTGGTACAATGTACAGTAAAAGCATGGACGTCTGTCGAAAGTTGTTCCAATCGAACCGTCAAAATGCACCGCTTTGCTCGATACGCCTTTTTAATAGAAACTAAGTTATCGACTCAACCTCTGGTGGTGAATAAGAGAACTTCAAAAAGAGTGTTGTGAGCAGAAATTTCTGACGTGAGACATAGGATGCGGAATTCTTTTTCACTATTCCTGATATTATTAGTTAAAATTGATTCATCTGATATGCTCCAAATCTTTTATTCTGCAAGCATCCTGCTGGTGTTCAGGAATATTGTTGTTGAGTATGAGAAATTAGAATAATGCCTTTGCGGTTATGATCTTCCGGATTTCTTGCACGTGAAAATAGTTGAGGTACAAATCAGTTCAGATCTGTGGAAAATCGTGGACAATCAATGATGGAAATTGGCAAGCTGGTCAATGAAAAATGCTTTAATTTGCGTTGTGAAAAATCCTTACTCTGATGTAAACAAAAGGTTTGGTTGACACTTCCTCTCGAACTCGCGTGGCGCACCGACACAAACATACTATTAAATGAATTGTAGACTCCCAACTTTTATAAAATTCAGATCTAGTCTAAACAAATTTATCACTACTATGTAATTTCAACCGGATCAATTCCAGTATATTCAGAATTTTACCAAGAAATAAATTTTGGAAGTTTGAGAGTAACAAATCTTGAGCTGTATCGCTCAAGGATCGCTATAAAAACTTATCCGGTTTACCTGAATTAACTAGATTACAGGCTAGAATGCATGATGAACTTCCGGTATATTTGTATGCATGATTGGTGGGTGAACGGCAGCTGGATTGTCAGCTCATTCATCAACTGCATTTTGTACTTAAAATATTCTTTATTTGCTTCTATCTAAATCATACAAATCGGGGATGGCACAGCTGTAACGCTATAAATCCGCACACAAACTTAATTTTTCTTAGAGTTTTACTCTGAATGTTTATTTGTTTAATTGATGTTTTGTGATGCTCTTTCGCGTTGTTATGAGGACATAGTCGTTGTTGTGACATCACAGCATTGCTAATAATGAAAATATCTATCTCTTTTCTGGTATCATGAAGTCAACAAAGTAAATCTGAAAGAAGAGCTGCAAAATGGAGCACATGCAATACGACAATGGAGTGATGCTCGTTAAGAAAATACCCGGAGATGGGCAGTTTCTATTTTCTGCGCTGGTGTTATAGCTTTATACGACGCCTCTAGGAACTCAAGATCATCATACAAATAAAATGAACGTCAAAGTCGTAGAATACATCAGAACAGAGGCGTCGCGTGCCTCATTTGTTTACCTGTGCACCAAACTTTGTTCGTTATAGTTTACCACCATATATCAAAAAAATACAGTGTTTTTATATGTCGTCATCATTTAACAAGCGTCATTGCACTAATATGTTGGGTGCGTGCCTCCGAATCCCTCCGGATGATTCGAATTCCGGATGCAACATTTTTTACTATGAGGAAAATTTTCATAAGATTGTCTTATGACTAACTTTCATACGGGAATCGTATAAATTTAGAATTTCTTGTGGCAAAAATCCATACGATATTCGTATGAACTCCTGTCCATTTATTCGCTCAGTGTAAACATTCTTTAAAATTTCCTGATGTTCTCTGGAGATCTATGGACTACCTTGAAATTTCCTTATAAAAAAAAGATACCTGAAATTCCCCAAAGATCGCCAGACCTAGCTTCTGTGAGGTACTTCGAACATCTTTAAAAAAAATCCACAATTTTCATTGAGTTCTCCGCTACATCTCTGAAGTTCTCTTGACTTCCCTGAAGTTCTCTGGATATTCCTGAAGTTCAAAGAACTTCTTAAAATTTTCTGCAGTCTTCCTGACGCAAATGGAACCGCCTTGAAGTTCTTTAAGCTCTCCAGAAGTTTTCATAATATTCCGGA